GAACACAGCAAAAGTTTTAGAAATGCAAATCACGTTAGGACTAAACTTCTCGTTCAAAACGCGCGGTTAATGAAGGTATGATAGAAAATGTGTATGATATTCTGTTCTAAATCCTTAACAGTATATCAAGCTTCTCCTTGAAAGAAACTTGGAAACTTTATTGAACCGATCGACATGTTGGGCAACCTCATTATTTGGTTACTCGTAAGGAGTAGAATGAATACCAACTTGATGTTTCGCTTCTAACATGGTTATGTTTTTCATGAGATCCATGTTATGGTTGGACTGATATAAATTTTCAGAATGACATCCAGAGGTGTTTCGATAGTGAAGTTAACAGTTGCTTAGGCAACAAAACACAGTTCGCAGCGCATTAAAAATTTCCCCAGTGACATTATTCACTGACCGTCTACTTCGAAACAGCCACAACTTTTATTAAGCTTTATATGACATAAGATAGTATTCCAGCATGTAATGCATGTCCGGCGTAAGGCGGTCCGACATGATGGATGAAAATTGAAGCCATAGCAAAATTTACAGCGTAATCTGGTTTTTAATAGGAATTATGTCATAATATGACAAGTTATGATAGAGCTAAACAAATTTTATATGATCTATTTGGTAAGGAACACCTCGTCGCTCGTGAAATGATTACTGAGTTACTTAACCACAAATGTGTTAAAGGATTTGCCGATAGCTTAACTGACTTCGCTATTAAGCTACGTCATGCATGCATAACATTGAAGGAAATGAGGCATATGTCTGGTGTGAATTCTATGGCTAATTTGGAAATAACAGTGTCGTGTCTACCACCAGAACTACATAATAAGTGAGCGAAACTTGCCGATAAGATTATGATGGCCGAGAAGGAGCCGAGCTCTAAAGAATTTGTGATCTTTGTAGAAGAAAAAGCCAGGATTGCTCGGACACGTTTTGGTAGACTGGTACATTGTAACTCAAAGCTCAGTGAAAGTAATTAAGAATGCCAAGTTGATAAGAGATCACGCTTTAATGTAGTTAAGCGGGAACCAATCAACTCATTCAAGGCTTTCAGTTGGGAAATCGGCTTTGGTGATCACAAAGAGACAGAGTGTACGAAGGTATCGAAAAAAATGTTACAGAAAGGAGACAGGAAGTGAGAAGACGTGGTCTATGGTACCTGTGTTTAAGGGAGGATCACATAGCCAAGTCATGCAACTCGGCATAATTCATTGCTATATATTGATGGTATTAATAACCATGTAGTGAACTTAGTTAAGGGTTGTGACTCGTCGAAGGTTTGTTTGGGTATCATTCCGACTAGACTGTATGGTTCAAAGGAAACTTTGGAAACTTAGGCCCTCCTTGATAGTGGTACAGACATTTCCCTCGTATGCAAAGAGTTATTTAATCAGCCGGGTCTTGAGGGTAAGGAGGCTTCGATGACAATAACCACTGTGAATATAACGACTAAGTGTAAATGTTTGGAAGTAAATTTAGAGGTATTTTCTCTGGATGAACAGGGTTCTGTGAAGATCATCAAGGCTTATACGACTAAGAAGTTTCCGATTGATTATGTAGAATCTTTAACCGAGGAACAGCTGGGACGGTGGAAGCATTTGAAGGACATCACTCTTCCGACGTTGTAAAGTACTTTGGGAGAAGTGTTGATCGGTTGTGACACTTCAGACTCACACTGGGTTCTAAAACAACATCTGGGAGACCGGGAATGTTCGTTTGGTGTGCGTACGCCACTCGGTTGGATGGATTTTAGGTCCCAGGGAGTTTTATAGGTCCATAAATACAGTACAGCGTTGTCATTCTCATGATGTTTCACCGGATCTAGAAAGATGAGTTCGAGGAGAGAGACCATATTGGCAAACATGGTTCACTTGAATCAAAGGTTTCAGTAACAGTCAAATAAAGTATAGCAATACGTTTGGAAAATTTTCTTAGTGAACGGTCATACAATGTTAGTGTTGATGGGTCTCGTAATGAATCTTACGGAAAGGTGGTCGAAAATTCATTTTTATTTACAAGAGATCTAGCATTTATATGGGGTTTACGTGACAATACTGACAAGCAGTGATTCACACAATTTAATTTGTGGCTAATGATCAAGGGAAATAGAGCTTTATATTCTTCTGCGAACTCAATCAGTTGTTTGTGTGTCATTATACAATTGTGCTTGAGGTGTTGCATTGGATGTTCTTAGACCTGATTCTTAATGCTCTCATTATAGTATTTAGAAGGTTTAGAATGCTTTTATCGCCTAAGGCAAATGTCAGGAGGGAGACGAACTCTTTATTACTAATGTTGGATCTTTTCATGTTTATAATTATTGTTAGAACGACATTTTGGCCGACTATTTGTAAGTTGCGAATAAAATTTGGTACCTGAATTGGAGTTTGGTTCTACTGTTAATTTGGGTTCGTAAACTGCAAATAGATCGATATACCGTACTTCAATAACGGGAATGAGCAAAATCTGTTATGTAACAGTTACATCATAACAAATCTACGATTTCAGGATTAAGTCTGTTATTAGAGCAGTACTGATATCGAAATAGACCATAATTCTACACACTCATATTATTAATATTTCATTATTTTCTGTAATGAGGTCTGGTCTGTTTATATGTCTGAAATATACGATCCACGCAGTGAAGGTTGGTATTTGTGTTCTGGACTGAATGGACTAGACTAGGTGGATAATTGCTATGAAAAGTACCAATAGGGACTCAGGGTTGATTCAAGGCTGCTAGTGCTGTCTGACGCATCATCGGTTTAGCACAGGGGCGGGGTTATAGAAGTCGGCATTCTGATAGGCGGCTTTTTCACGTGATATTTGACGGGTCATGGAACATTATGCAACCAACTTACATTAAAGGACAGGTTCATTTGGCAGTGGTCGCAATCTGTTGCCTGTACCTGTTGAATTAGTACTGCTCTAATAATAGACCAAATCCTAAAATTGTACATTTGTCATGATGTAACTGCTTATCTATAATATCTTACGTGGAAGTCGTATCATTGTCTACACTGACTCATCGTGTCGTAACAATTGCCAGTATATGATGGAGAACATATTCAGGAGATAGGACAATATATTTAATATGAGTGAAAGCAAGTTGTACAGACCGACCACGCCTGCAAGGCCGAGCCATGCCGTTCGACTACTTCGAACTAACCCTATTCATTCTTTCCGCCTTCTCCATCGTTGGGTTTTCCCCTGAGCTAAATATCGAACATATATTTTCTCAGTTGTCTAGTGTTCAGCTTTGAAGATTGTGTGGTTATGGCCCGATGCTAGTACATACCTATTTATAATAATATATTTCTGTAATGACTTCATTTGTGGTGTAAGGTCATCACAGCATCTATTGTACTTTGTTATGACGAAACTTTAGTTTGCGCAATGTACTAACTGTTAGTTGTGACTTTGTAATAACTTAGGTTGAGTAGTTATGAATTGACCTAAAACAGCTAGATATATGTCAAAACAATAAAGCTCACTTCCATATTTTGTATAGACATATTTCTTTGTATTTTTTTACAGGTAACTCAAGCCTCACGGTGTACTGTTACACGAGCCAGTGGTCCTGGCACTCAAATGCTGTTGATATCATCAGTAAAGATGACGTGATTGACACTACAAATGAAACATTGTACAGGACATGGTGAAGCTTAGGATTATATTTGCATTCTCGGTTTCGAAAGTAATCACCAACATTCTGTTTTCAGTTTGTGACCAAACCATCAATACAGGACTCCTTATCTTCTAGGCAAAAATGTAGTGATTTAATGACTTTCTGAAGGTCTGGATTCCAAAAACATACCTAGACTTTCTAGATCAGATGTCTGTGAAATAGATATTTGAGCCGACTATGCGTGTCTTTGAAAACTTGGGTTCACTTCATAAGGAAGATGCAGGTAACTTATTAAATTCATTTAGTGGAACCCTTTAATTTAAATGGCAGCCCCCCTTAGTAAACGCGTGGACCACTTTACATTTATGCGGATCCAGACACGTACTGATGGGAGAGTTAGACATAGAAGTAAATCGAACCCAGTCTTTCTGCTGATGGAGTACAGATAATAAAATAATGGGGTGAGGAAGGGACTAGTTAACTGAAAAAGCAAGCCTATAGGGCTTCCATATCTACATAAGGCTTCATCTGCCAAAAGCGTATCTCAAACATGTTCTAAATAGAACTCGCATACTGAAATCATGTTTAACAAAATAGGTAGGCTACATTAAAGGAAATCTTGAACGGGTACACTGAAAAACCTGTTCTGAGTTGGAGATAAAAAATTTTAGTGAATTTTGGCTGAATGTTACCGGTCAGTTTAATTCACTGTATTGCCTAAAATGTTCAGAACTTCCAGTTAGTCACTGTTTGCGAATGTGGTGTTAAATTAGCAAAAATCATCAATCCACGCGAGCTGATTCCTCGTAATTACTAAGTTTTGTGGCTTTTTAATGTCTTACCTCGTTAATCACAAAAAATTTCAATGAGCTTAATATTTCCAACTGAAATTATCTCGTTATCTTTCTCGAGATTTCCGTCTACAATAATCAAGTGGTGTGGGCGAGGAACGTCTTTGCAAGTGGCGCCTTTATAATCGATGTACACAAACTCAGCCAGACCATGAGTCGGGAATGGAGTTCGAAGATGCATTTGGCAGGTTATCGATTTGTCTATTAGCGTTTAGTCTAAACTGGTAGGGATGCGTAGCATGGCTTACCAACTCGTAGTTTGGTGTGGATGTTTGGCCAAGCGACTTTAGATGTGCTGTGTCCATGAAAATCAATAAGGTCAGTATCAATGTCGACGACCAACAAAACTATTTTTTCGGGGATTTATTTACTATTACATACCCAATGTACTTCGTGTCCTCATATATAATTTCACACATAAAAATAAAAAGTTTACCGTTTACTTAACTTTTGATCCACGGATAATTTATAATTAGTGCCTAAAATCACTATTTGAAGTATTTGTTTTTCTATATCACAACCTAAGGTTCAAGAAGTTGCGCCTTCTTCAGATCTTAGATGGTATTAACATTTTCATTCTCACCTGCATCGGTTGTGGAGCCTGACTGCTTACGAAATGTAGTTAAGTTGGCAAGAGAAAACAATTTACTTCTTTCGGAAGAAACTTGCTGGTGCTTGCTGGACTCATGTCTGTCGAAAATTCCGTTGAAGAAAACTTACCAACTTCTAGATGAATGTACGTTTGCTTGACTACATGTTTACCGTCATTTAGTATACAGTACTGAAGAGTTAAGGTTTCCAGAAGGTAGCGAGTTTGCAGTTGAGTCCATACGTGCCAGATCTGTTAACAAAGTAATATCACATTTTCGTATTCATAACTCCAGGGTGTTGTTTTCTATTATGTAAAATGGGTTGGGTGGCCACCTGTGTTCAATACATGGGAACCAGAATCTAATCTTCATGGATGTGAGGATTTAATACAAAAATTTATTGAATCTTATGGTTCGACGATTGGGATGCTTCCGGTATGTTCCGTTGATAATTAATCATATTTTCAGCCTGATAATCAACCTGATAGAAAATCACAGGTTCAGGAAGTAATGGATCGATTGAAGGAAGCTGTCAATACATCTGGGTCGCTACCATTGTATCTACTTGAACGATTTTCTAGTCTCCAACCTGATCCTACTAATAGCCTTCGACCATACAAGCACTTACCCACCATAAACATCGAAAAGCTTTTTTCATCACAAATATCACAAGGCATTATAGAATCTATTTCACTCAAGCGACCTCCCAGTGTCGCTGATCTCTTGCCAGTTTCTACCAAACGTATTCGTCTTAGTCGGAAAGATAAACAAGTGTTGGATTCTGCTCTAAGTGCTTTTCAGCAAAAACTCAACACTGTCTACTCAAATGAAGCACCAATCACTGTCGAAAATTCTGTAGATTCTGAATGTAAGTCCCTATTCTTACGTAAAAGTTTGTCTAGCAATGTATTTTAATGAATCATTATGAAGCTAGATTTCTGTTTCCATCAGACATTCGCACTTAAATGTCTTGTAAAAAAACGTATATTCACTCTATGGACAAGCTGAGATGCATTTATTCAGTTCTTGCTGCATTTATCAGTCATTAAAAAGTATTTACTAAACCTAGTTAATAAGATTTTAGTAACCTTAGGATTAGGATCAGTCAGCGAGGTCGAAATGACAGTATCTGATTTCCTAGTGAATAAACTACTTAGAATATCTTTCATATTAAATGAGTGAGACCGGTAAATTAAGGGTACAGAATAACGCTGCAAACATACTATGGTCGCTTAAACTTCCATGGTAAGGTGGTCACCACAACAGCTTTAATTCTCACACACGCGATTGGTACAGACTGGTTCTGAAACATTTTGTTCTTAGTATTTGAAATACAACCCAACTATCCTTTTAATCTTACTCAATGGATCTATAAGACTACATTTCATTAGCATAATCGGATAGTGTCGTTGACATGCTCCCATTCAACAAGATAGTGTTCAGGTAGGTTATTATTTAATTAGCCTGACGAGTTAATTACCTCTAGGAGCACGTTTACAAAGAAATCAAACAAAATCGGTGAACAGTGAGTCGAGTAGTCCTGACGTACACCTAAAGTTATCGATCCCGATGACAATTCTCCATAAGCTCTGATTTGACCATCGGTATTCAAGTACAGGGTTGGTGTATTTTGGCAGGCTTTTTGATTACCTGCACTACCACAGGAACTCTCGATCAACAGAGTCAGGTAATATAGCTCAAGGTTAAGGAATATAACTGAGGTCAGATGTCAGAAAGTATGTCTATATTCCAGAACCTGACGATCAATGCCTCATTAAAACCTAGTTAAAGTAGTTGATCTTCTGTAGCTTCGTTCAGCGTTTTGGGTTTTAGAATTGTCTGTCCATATAAGCAACAATACTAGCGAATTAAAATAAGTGAGGGTAGTTAACTAGTGATGTGAGCAGTTGCGACTTCGAGTTGATAATAGTCTTTGGTATGCATTATTACTTTTTCGGCAGACTGCCTCTAGGAATCAAACAGATGACAACGTTGGCTTATTAAAGTACTAATTGTCGGTTTTTGTTGAACATTTTATAGGTATCTCAAATACAGTCAGTCAGTCATTCAGCTAAAACATGGGACCAGGCACATCTAAGCATCGGTCCAAGTTGCCATACCTCGTTAGCACAACAAGTTAAATACATAATTCATAGAAGTAGTTAATTCAATGGTGATAATATATAAAATATATAAAAGAAAGACTGCATATAAGGATATGGTACAGGAAGAAAGAATTAGTTGGCAGAAAGAAAGATATAAAGCAATTTTAATCTCGCGGTTTAAGGGAAGACAGTGTATACACCGATGCCATCGTGATCGATTCTGAACCATTTAACCCAGAATCTTCAACCATTGGTTACAATAATGACGCGGACCCCGACCAAGTAGTCTGCATGTAACTGCATGGCTCAGACAAGAAGTTAATGACTTCAAGCACTGATGCCACGTTTTGGTTTGGTGACCCCTAACTTTCTTCCAACCACTCCCCACACTAGTCAGCATTGCGCGTCGTGGTAATCGTTGCTTAGGCATAAGCAACACGTGACTCAAGCATTCCAGTTGATGAAGATTCACAACCTCATCAACTGATATACCATCATTCCTTAATACCATGTGTCTAACCTCACTATTACCCGGTGGTCCCAGCAGATGTTGGCCATATTTCTAAGGCATCTCTGATCAAGTACTAGTAACTTACGAGTATTTTCTACAGTTAATGGCCATGTTTTGCGGCCGTGAAGTAGAACAGAACGAATTGCCGCGCAGTGTACTCGTCCCTTGATTGATAGACGGTTATCTCGCCTTCGCCATAGTTGACGTTAGTTGGAAGCCACTAGAAAAATATTTGTGACACATTTCCATGCCATTTAAGCTGATGTTTCAAGATGGTTGAATTATCATCACTGGACACAAACACGTAGAATCCTTTGGAGATAATGATGATCAAGTACAAAACGTGGCCAAACATCCTCAACCCGCAGTGTCCGGGTTTCTCAAACATAGGTTAGAAGTGCTTTCACAAACACTTTGTAAACTTAATCTTTTACGACCAGGTTAACATCATGACGGCGCTAAAGATGGTTCATATTGGCTCAAACTGCTCTGCCTTACACCATACGTTGATTGACCTCATCTGAAATGAAATCACCAACCCACACAGCTACCTAGGTTCAAGAACGTTTCGACTATTTTTAAGAGCTCTCTATAAAGAGCGGGTATGAGCATCAGCTGCTGCCAGTCTTGTAAAAGTACTTTGCATTTGGGAGGTGTAAAGCATATACGATTTCTACGGATATTGATTGCTCTTATTACCAAACCTTTTCAAAGAACCCAGCCAGTTTCCGAATCGGAAGTTTGGCACCATTCTTACAAAAGGTTGAGGTTAACTGGTCTAGGTTTGATTGTTTGTGGCGCTTCAGAAGATGGATTCTCTTGCAGAACTTTGTCCCATTAGATGTATCAGCCGTCACTGATCACGCAAGGAACGAAAGTGATTGATGTTGCTGGGTGGGGGCCAATGGGCTGGACTGTCTCTTGAAGAACTCTGTCCAAGATGTTGAGCGATGTTGATTAGGGTCCTTATAGCTCCATAAATTATTTCACTCGCTCCAGACTTATTGATGTCTTTGGCTCGGGTGAGTTGACAGCTCCCGACAGTTGTCTTATGAAACTCTTGCTTCCAACTCGCATGTTTCGACTACGAGGCCTCTCAGTCCTTAAGAAAACTTCATACAATTACCTTATGTAAGAGCTTATTTTTATTGCCACGCCCCTGATTAGCTGGAGTTGACTGGCGCTCGTCAAGGGGTTGTAAGGAGACTGTAAAAAACCAAATCTTAGGAGCGAGATGTTTTGCGAATCCACAAGCAACCTTAATCGGCATTTTCATGGTATCATGTAAATGCAGACAGTGCTCATATATACTTTTCGGTGGGTTGATAGCTAGCCTTAAATCTAGTTTCGTTTGATATTGGGTTACGGCTGAAGGTGTAGCCAATTCGCTTACACCAATTCATTTAGGGCGAAAAGTTTGGGCTACTAAAACATAAGATTGATGCAAACCAAGTCGTGTTCAAAGTCCGCACAGTTATTTCAAAAGAAGTGAGTCTTATACATGATTACATCAATAGTAGCTGATCTCCACGTAGTCGACTTAAGTTCGGGCTTGAGTTGCTGAGGAAGGACTCAATGTAGTACATTGGCGATGACTGTACCGATAGTTGGTAGTTGGAAACAGTTTTGTCTGCACAATACGGCAGGAGATGGTCACCATTATCTGACCAGCGTGACCCCAAAGATTATTCAGGCGAATTTCCTATGTTCCTAAATGCCTGACTTATACATTAAAGTTTCTGGTTAGCACTACAATAATGTGCTTTCTTGAAGGGACCAGCAAACTGTTGGTAGAACTCATTCTTGGTTGCATCTAAGCTGTGATCTACTAGAACGTAAGGGGAAATGAAGAAGAGACATCGTTTCCCATTCTGATTTTACCTCACTTTGATAAATCTCTAATCTGATGGCGTATAAATGACTGGTGGTTGGGATTCGATCGATTAGCACCACCGTTGCTCTGGAGCTTAGAGGGACACCAACGCCAGCCTATCCGAACGAAAATGGAACAGGATCCCCAGACAACCTCACATGAAACAAGTTTTTCGAATCGATAGGTAGAGCATCACGTTTGTACTACTTCACTAGAGTCTTGAATCTGGACTTCACGTACAACGAGTTGCTGTCAAGTAGAAAGCTTTACTGATAAATAAACTCTTAGGAGTTTAAGTAGATCTTAGATTCCCTTCAGTCGATATTCTTGCAGAAAATACCTTAGCTCAACAACAGAATCGATCTTGACGAAAGACTAAACGTCTATGGTAAACATATGATCAGAGTAGTACTAGATCGTTTCCCAAATTTTACATTTTGCAACGATCACTTTTTTCAAAATTAGTAGTTCTATTCAAAGCAAAGGTCAGTGAGATGTAGTTGTAGTACACTCACATAGTGTTTCTGACTATCGCCTAACGGAACTTCAAATAAATTAGTAGAACTTTTTAACTGTGACTTTATGAAATCACATGCTTGCCCCCAAATGCCCTGGTACGGCCGAGAGTGGGGAGAGTCCACTCTCCCTCTCGAAATGCTCTCACATGGTCACGCGTATATAGCCTCTGCCAGGGAAGTCCTACTCACTGCCTTCTCGTGGCGGGGGTGTTGTTTACGAAAATGAGAGGATGAGAAGCGAATGTCCGGCGCTTTAACCTGATTCCAAACCAATGGTACACATGGGCTCCAGTATCCTGTGGGAACAAATGGCGTATGAACCAATCGTTGGTCACTGGCTTCCATGGCACTGCATCTCTTTACGATGCCCCACTGCCTTGTAGATCGAACCTTCAGGTCGAAGGCTCGGAAAGTGGCCCCCTAGGGAAACCACCTACTTCGGTTTGTGCACCCAGGCAGTATCACAGCCCTCACACATTTCGAATGAGATTTGTGTGGCGCATATGTATTTGGTGCCTCATTGTACCAATATCTATGTGTTAAAATAAATAATAAATCACATGTTTACTGTAGTTTTGAATATGTATTTGTTTGGAGTTGGGAACCCCCTAGTCATACTGTTGGTACACAAGATCTAGTCATTTTTGTAGAAGATAATACATATTGGACTTTTTGTAGGTTAGGTTTATCTAACCATATTCAGTGCCTAACAATTTAGATTTATAACAAACACTATTGGAATGTTGTGTAACATTGTAATTAGATTGTTAATTATTTGTAACCAAAGCCATCGTTAAGCATATGACTCAATTTAAATGTCTAGGAATCCTTTAGGTTTTAATCCTGATATCTAAAAATTATTTTCACTTCAGGCCCACCAGTTGAATTTCAGCCGATTCCAGATTATTTACCTGGACAAGATGTATTCTTACCGACCAAAGCTCCTATTGGATGTGAATGTACAATGGACAATTTGGACCAGTTAGAGCTAGCCAAAATTCGTAAAGGAGATGGAAACAGTTCACCAGTCATATATCCTTGTTGGATCAATAAACGACGTAGTTGTTGTGCTGTTCGTGCTGGTGCAGTTCCACCCTATGACAAACGGAAAAGGCTCGTTGCCCCTCCTGGTCATCCTGTTTATGAATGTAACTCCTTGTGCGTTCACTTAACATTATTTATGTATATTCTAACTGATTTCATAGTTGATGAAAATTTATTTACCTATTACGATTTACTATTCATGCATTTAGGATTATTATAATCCCTTTGTCATTATTTGAAATATCAATAACTTATTTCATCTGTTTATTTCGGTTACCTTTATACAATTAATTTAAAAACTTGGGAGTGTGTTGTTTTATCTCACTATCCTTAACTTTCATGTACACTTTTCTTGTCACTAAAAAGACTTTTTGACTGCTGATATATTTTTTAATTTATCAGGTAGACTTATTACAAGAAGACTTAAAAAAAGACATACATGTTTTTGCTCTAATTCAGTTTGATTAACCCTAGCAAAAATTATTAATAATTAGAGCTACTAAGTGATCAAATCATTTTTCTAAAGAACTAATGTAGTAGGATTTAAAGAAAATATTGAGTTGTAATCAAACTTACTTAATTTATACTGGATTCAATCAGAAGTGTAAACATTGTTTGGTTGACAACGAGCGTTTTTACGTTTTATACTTGATTGCTTCTGATTAGAACATATATATATCCCATAGATTTTTCATTCAATCACTAAAATTAGTTACATGATACTTTATATTTAGTAGTACGATTTTTGATGGAGTATTATGTTTTTTTAGGTATTCATCTTGTTCAAATGGCTAATAAATTTTAAATTTATTCATTAACAGTGTTTTCTTTATTTATTACATCAGATTTTATTCCAAGTAGGTATCTAGAAAATAAATTTATGTGTTTTATAGGTTCATTGATAAATAACACTAACATAGTTTGTTATTGAATGTTGTTGTTAGTCTAGACGCTTCCCTTATATATTATACAATTTCCCCCGATTATTATGAATTGTAAATAAGCGTTTTATCCACTAGCGTTACAGATTGTTTCTTGGAAATGATTGGGTTTAGATAATAGTGTTGTGGTCGCTTAATCACTAGACTTCTTAACCTATGAAAGTATACTGTTAACTACACTTCTGTACAGATGAATTGTAATAGCTGTGTACGTAAAGTAAATTGACAAAACGGAATTTAAACTCTGTTCAGCATTTAAAAGTTAAGTATATTCATTACAAAACGATATTCTATACATATTTAAATGGGTTCTAAATATTTCATAACCCTAAGACCTAGTTACTGGGTCACTAAAATCGTGTATATGAAATTCTCGAGTTTTGTCGATGTAGTCTACTCACTTTTATTTTTTAATTCATTTACCAAGTACGGACTTGTGTACTTGGCTTCTAGCCATACCCCAAGTATTAGGACTTTTGATACTGTCCATTTTCCGGAACCGTAGTAGGCGGAGTGGGGTTCGAATCTGCTACTTAGTGGCTGAGAATCAAATGACTGAACCACTGCCCCAGCAATTTTTCTCTTTTCAACCACATGAGCGATCTTGACTCTTACCGTTGTATATAGTAGAGTTATCAACTGGAAAGGGACGATATCATTGTTACTGAGCTTCTTATCACTGATTTCTGAGGACCTGTTCCTGTTCCTTTTAAAGTGTCCTTATTTGCTAATCATTAACTCATTATAAACGTTTTAGTAATTTTATGCAATTCCTTCAAATTTTAGATGTCCATGCGATTCGTCTTGTCCATTTCGTGTTGTTCAACTTGGACGGAAAGTTCCTTTGTGTGTCTTCCGTACACGTGACAGAGGATGGGGCGTTAAAACAGTGGTCCCCATTAGTAAAGGGACATTTGTCGTTGAATACTTAGGAGAGGTAAGCAACATTCTTAGATTTTAAAAAGTTTGGTGCGTTAAAATAATTCGTTGATTAAAGTCATGTATACGTAATCCTGATCTTACTGATATGTATTTTTCCTTATCATCGACTAACTAATAGTTTGTTTTGGTGAACTGTTTCGTCACTGAATTAGTCTGATTTTATTGTGACAGATACATAGAAAGTCTACAATAAAGCCATCCCAGTGTATAACTTGCGGTTATTTTGCCAATGCTTCAAATCTATGTTTCGTCATTCAGTTTGAATCCGGTGTCCATCTTGTTGTGTTAATGAGGTATGGCAACTTGGACCGATGCATATATATGTCTGGTTCTACTCTGTAGCTGACTGACTGAGAGACGCGGTACAACTAACTGCTAGCTGTAGTAATTTAAGTTAGGTTTGTGGATAAAAATCAACCAATCAGTCAACCTCGTACATATGTACATCTGCTAAAGTTCTCATATCCCGTTAGCATAGACAGATTAAGTTGTCTGACCGAATCCTAGAATACTAAAAGCAGTACAAGTATCAGTGGTGATTGAAAATATTCAATGTCGAAAATACGACTTAAGAAAATAAAATTAGTGAAACAAAACGCCATAAATGTTATAAGGAATTCAAGAAATCAGAATTTCGGGGAAGACGGAGAACGGATGCTTTTGCTCCATTACAAATGATTTTGAGCCATGTCATTCAAAGTCTAGCCATTGGTTACGATAGTCATGCGGACCCCAACCAAGTAGTCTATACCTATTAACACGGCTAAGTTCACTTATCTGTGACTTCGTGGACTGATGCCATATCTTGGTTTCCTCGCTCCTACCTTTCTTCTAGCCCACTCATACACCAGAGAACATCGCCCGTCAGTGTAGGTGATGGTTTGGGATACATAATACATGTCCCAACCACCTTCAGTTGACGAAGATTTACTACCTCACTATTTGACTTGTCATCCTCGCTTAGCACCTTATTTCTAACCCAGATACTGCTTATTCCGTGGTTCCAAAATGCAGGAGCAATGATTCGAAGACACTTATGATCAAGCACCAGTAACCTACGAATATCCTATATTCCTAGTGGTTGTTTCACACCCATAAAGCAGAACGGAGCGAATTGCTGCGCAGTTAACTCTTCCTCTGGTTGAAAGACGAATATCTCGCGTATATCACAAGTGACAAGTTGGTAAAAGCCAGCCGAACCTTCCGACTCGGTGTCGATATTTCTTATGATACCAGACCATCAATATTGAGGAGATTCGCAAGTTAAGTGAGGATGTCGACAAACCCAACTACTTCACTCCGTTTCGTTAATTCAGGCGATGATGCAAACCACCCCTGAAGTAATATTTTTCATTTGCAGGGAGAAAAAGGCATGCCTAAGGTGGCCGGAAGCTCTGCACCAAACAGAACTACTTCATTTGTGCATTCCAAGTTAAATAATGGATCTCTCGGAAAAAGATAGATCCTTGAAAGTAAAAGATAGAAGCATAATCTTTTTGACAAAGTTAAATATAAATAGGGAATGCGGACAACCCTGACGAACACAACTCAAAGTAACCATTGATGATGACAGCTCCCCATAAGCTACAACTCGACAAGTAGTGTTCGAGCAGAGAGGGTATGTAAGATTAGTGTACTATTTTGGTACGTCGTCCAATGACAGACTGGTCTGAAACCAGCTTGGTTTCCTCGGGTTTGTTCTTTACGAGCTCTAGTTAGACGAAGTTGTGTTGTTTAGGTCAATATTTTAGACACCATATTTGTTAAACTTATTCCTCTGTGATTGTTACAAGAGGATTTGGGACAATCAGCGATCGAGACCAGTAAGATTGAACTACATCCAGATCCCAGATTCTAGTTAGGATTTCAGCTGGTCTAACTGTTAGAACTGGACCACCATCCCTAAAAATCTCAGGGCTTAGTCCATCAGACCCTGCTGTTCTCTTGCGCCTTAGATTACGTACAGCCTTTTCAACCTGACCAAGGGTTGGTGAAGATAGTGAATAAATAACGTATATCTGAAGACCAGTCGTACTGTGTCCCTGAAGTGTTCTGTCCATTGGCGCAATGTCCTGTATTGAGAGTGAATAACCTGCATCCTTGATAAGTCCAGACAGTTGTCTACTGTTACCTAACGCTGCTGCATTTTCCAAGTATTCTGCTTTCACTATCCACCACTGCTTATGATCATTATGTAGGCTTCCCGTAGTCCTACGGTTAAGCTACCTCCACTCCTCAATGTGTTTTGAGTCAGATGGGATGAATTTCAGAGCATTTATCAGTTTTGTAGACGCCGCTGAAAACCACTGATTTTTCCAAACCTTTTGGTTCATGTTACTAGTAGATATCACTGCTGTTTCCACAGCATTTTGGATATCATATGAAGCTGCCTCGGAGTGGATATCATTTTCACGATTGACTAGCTCCCTCCCCAACTGTTCCTGAAATATATTAACTTTTTCACCATTAGGTTGTGCTTTAAGCAGTTTCCTTCTCGTGGTTTTTTTTACATCCACCAAGAAGCGAACCAATGGGTGCTCGAACTGGAGCATGATCTGGGTCTAAACATGCTCCAGAATGGGCGATAGTCTTCTGCTAAGTCTCTCCGACGATGGCTGCCAGCAATGTGGTTTATTTGGATTCGTTGTCAGGCGGACTCTGTAGGCCATTACTAAGATGCGAGGGAGGGATTCGATCGTCAGCAAGGTGATCTCGGGTGCCGTTAGGAGTATGGGGGCGGTTGTAACTTTCCGGTTTCGCAAACTGTGGAAGTATATTTCTTCTTAGGGGACCTGAAAAATAGATGAATTTGTGGTGGCCTTAACAACTTGGGAGTGTATACCCCAGAGCCTAAGGATCAAATGATTGAAACCGGTCGCTAATTGCCTTTTTATGGAAAGGCTTTAATTTGTTAGCCTTGCCGCCGGAGACGGAAATCCGTGGGGTAAGGTGAGGTGTGATATTTATAAAGTCGACTTTTTCTAACCTCTTCCGTTGTGAGAAAGTAGGGTCGCTCCAGATGCTAGTTGTCTGAGGCGAACACCTAACTGTTGCCACACCCATTTACAGTCATCAGTACGCCTCTCTCGGATATTAATCTGCTGCTCCTGGTCTTATCGTTCTCGAGCCGACCCTTAGTTTTAGGAAATTGAGTATGTTCCAACATCTCAGAATAAAACAGTTTTCATTCCCATCTCTGGAAACCATCGATGTAGTGTATACAAATATTAGGAAGTAGGGCTACTGTCGAATAATTTTTAACTATTGAGTCCTGTTATACTCCACAAACTGTGTGAAATCTATGAAAGGCTGACTCGCAAAGGTTTAGCTGGTTTTTGTTTAAATTGATGATATATTAATTACGTCTTCACTTAATGAAAAATCCCAAATACCTCTGCAAGGCGTAGAGCATATTCCCGGAATATTAATGTTGAACGGCTGGATAAAGTGAACAACGTTTATTTGGGCAGCTATTTCGGTGCTAATGGTGGCTCGGGTGATGAGACCAATTTGCGCGTAGTCAAACTCGGCGTGGCTTATCCCAGTCTGATCCAATCCTGACCCCGCCATGATGTTAATCTGGCTGTAAAAGGCCGGGTTTACAGCGCTTCAATGGGACCATTCTTACTTTATGCTTGTTAAACCTGAAACCTTCGATCTGAGGATGTTTGGCGACATTTTATGTTTGACCGTCATTGTCTCCAAAAGACTATTTACATCCATTTAATTTGAACGTCTTGGCTTCTGCGATTGCCTCCCACTGGTTTGAAGGTGAAGACAGCCAGTGTAACAGTGGACCTCAAAATGCACAAAGTAAATAGCAAGATCCTCAAATACAACACGGAGAATACCAACCCAATCACACTTGGTGGAGAAGCTCTGGAAGATGTGGGATCTTTCACGTACTTGGTCACCATCTTCGAGGATTGTCAAGTTAAGGATCGCGTTCCTACAGCTGTAGGACACATGGAACTCAAAACAATCGTTAACCAACATCAAAGAATCTTCATTACAACCATCAAGACATTTCTACTGTACGGAGCTGAAACTTCCAGAGCTACCACAACCATCATGCTAAAAGTACGAGTATTTCTACACAATTGTCTATGCAATATACTCATTGTCCGTCGGTCGGATACCATCAGCAACATTTTTGCTGTGGGAGAGAACGAATTTACTCCCATCTGTTGCGGAAATTAGGAAAAGAAGATGGAGGTGGATAGTTCATAGATTGCGAAAATCACCAAACTTGGAATTCTGAAGGGAAACGGAAAAGTGAAAGGCCAATGAACAAACTGCGTCGAGAATTAGAAGCGTACTTGATAAGGATGATTAGCAATTGGAGACAGCTGGGAAGGATTGTTTGGGACAGCGTTCGACGGATAATGCTGGTGGGCGACCCATGCTGTTCCACGAGGGTCAACAGGCTTAAGTTGATTAGTAAGGTATGATATGAAGCAATATGAAACAATCGTAATACAAAGATCTCTTTTCAAGTAGATGTAGGTTTGTATATGTGTATTTTGGGTGGAAAGGATTAGTTTCTATAGTGATAACATGTCATCAACATCTTGTTGTGGCAATTTGTATTTGGGTGCAGTAACTATAGTTCAATTGGCGCCACGATCTTAAAGCACTGAGTTCGTCGGTTTGGCCTTTCTAGTGATTTCTACACTTGACTTTATCTGCTGACGTTGTGATTGAACGGAAAAAGCAGACAGGCCGTCAGTTTGTGATTTGGTGTAGAAGCTGTTTAGGGCTAACATTCGTCGTTGCACTACGACTCCAGTTAGGGTCCTAGGGATTGTGCAACTCAGATGTAGCTCAAAATGCAGGCCAGTGGGGGTCCTACTCTTAATTAGTTTTTTGGCGTCCCATTGCGGCACTATTTATATGCCTAAATGAATAATCATTTATCAGTAATTGGTCGTAAAATTTCAGACATGGTTGTTAAGAAGCTTTAGATGTGTTAGTCTGCCATACATCAAATAAATGTATGACACTTCTGTAACTAGAACTCATCTCGTTTAGGATATTTGCTTTAATTATTTTTATAGAGGTATTATCATTAATGGACATTGTTGCTTAATACGTCAGAATTGTGCTAGCAATTATGTCGAAATTATTTATTTATTTATTTATTTCAACACATAGATAATGGTACAAAGAGGCACCAAATACATATGCGCCACACAAATCTCATTCGATATGTGTGAGGGCTGTGATACTGCCCGGGTGCCCAAACCGAAGCAGGTGGTTTTCTTAGGGGGCCACACCCCGAGCCTTCGACCTGAAGGTCTGATCCACAAGGCAGTGGAGCATCGTGAGGAGATGCAGTCCCATGGAAGCCGGTGACCAACAATTGGTTCATTCGCCATTTGTTCCCGCAGGATACTGGAGCCCATGTGCACCATTGGTTTGGAATCCGGTTAAAGCGCCGGACATTCGCTTTTCGTCCTCTCATTTTCGTAAACAACACCCCCGCCACGAGAAGGCAGTGAGTAGGACTTCCCTGGCAGAGGCTATATACGCGTGGCCGTGTGAGAGTATTTCGAGAGGGAGAGCGGACTCTCCCCACTCTCGGCCGTACCAGGGCATTTGGGGGCCTATGTCGAAATACGTTAGATAAAATGATTCTTTTGATCTCATATTGTTGATCGAATTCTCTCAATGAAGGAACTGTGCTACAACTTATCTGTTTATCGTCTATTATAAAGGATCTTGTGAATATCTCTATTTACGATAAATTTCACCACTGCTGTTCGTTTGTGTTTCCGTACGATTAATAATCATATATAAGCTATTATTTAATGACTTATTGTTCATTTTTACAGATTCTTAATTTTGATGAAGCAGAAAAACGAGGAATAATATACGATAAACAGACTATGACATATCTTTTCGATTTGGATTTCGAAGGTGATGCTTATTACACTGTAGATGCTTCTCAGATGGGTAATATATCACATTTTATTAATCATTCGGTAAGTGTTTTGTTTACAAGAAGGTAATTATTACGATATTTCTTGACATTCTTTTTCTATTTGAAGTCTTACGCGCGTGTGATAAATTGTTAAACATTGGGTTACTTAGTTGTTTTGTAATATAATCCTACTACATTCCTAGCTTGTCACTATCTGTTCACTATCACCTCTTGAATTCCGTTTTTTAGAAGTATCATAAGGAACTTAAAACACCGCATATATGTGCATAGGTATAATTTGTTAAGCTACATCACAACGAGATAAAGTCGTCACCAAAGTAGTAGCATTATCAACGATTATTAAAAGGACCAGCATAGGGAATGTGGTTCAAAAAGAGAGGGTAAATTTGTGTAATAGGAATTCTAAAATAATTTTCAGACCTAAAATTTAGGGGTAGACAAAGAAAGAATAAATCTCCCCCATTGAGATAGATTTTAATGCATATTGAACAATGTATCCAACCATTGATCAGTATTATTGTGAGAAACTCAACCAGTTAATTCTCACTTACTGATATCTCTCAGCCTAGGTGTTGTCTTGTTATTTGTGGTTCAGTATGACCTACGATGTTATGGTTTTAGAGACGAAAACAATTGAGCTTTTCTAATACGATCGGTTTTCTTCGGGATTGACAACAGTCAATTATACTCAACACATGAAACCTCAGGAAGAAATCGGAACTGCAGGTAACTTGATTTTTATGGTAGAACAAGCGAGTCAAAAGGAATTGGTACAAAAGTTGTTATTATAGTAGCAAAATGTGACCTTCGAGGATGTAGTAATTTAGCAAACCACCAATGACAACCAATCAAAGGGTAAACGTCACGACGAAAATTGAATCGGTAGAAAGTATGCGAGTGGTTATCGTTCCTGAAGTGATCTTAGCCCTTCTAATAAAATCTGACTATTCTTGCGACCGCCTGAGCACTAAGTCACTGACTGCGTGGAGCGATGCCATGTTTTGGTTTGGTTACCATTGTGTTTTTTCTTACATATCCGGTACACCACCCAACGTCACTCGTCGGATAAATAGTGAATGGCTACAAATATCCAAAATACAGACGATAACGAATAATAGGCTTCCTATCTTTGATGAGTACGCTGTATTTAACATCGACATTTCGCACTTGGTCTTTTCATTTATAGTATGCAAAAGATGAGTTAGTAAATCATCAGCGTGGAGCCTGGCACACATATCTGTTGATCCGGGTTGCTATACCAAATTAACCCGAGGAGATAAAGTTAATAAGATGTATAGCAAAAGAATTTCAGATAATGTAATAGCGATGACGATGAAAAGGGCTAAGCACTGATAGTAGTATTCGAAAAGATAAAGTGAAGGTTATATGAAGAAATGTTGGATTTCAAGATCGAAGTAAAAATAAAAAGTAAATGTATCTGCACCATTGTGAGCGATTTTGAGCCATGTTATCCAAAGCCTCCAACTACCAGTCTAGGTTATCGCGGAACTCAAAACAGGTTGTCTGTACACGTACTTCCGTAATCTCAGGAACTATTTTAGTTAGGCGTCAGTAGGAGTGTAAAGCTCCTTTAATTTGATGAAGGGTAAATTTCTGGCCAATGCATCCTCTTCTAGACCCGAAACCAGCCTGGTTTTCCGAAGTTTGTTCTTTACGAGCCCTAGTGAAAGACTGACTATCAAGGCTAATATTTTAGTTACTATATTATTCAAACTGATTTCTGTGGTTGTCGTCAGGTTGTTTGGTACTCATAAACCAGAACGATCAGTGGTCGTAACCAGGTGGATTGGATTATGTTCAGTTCTCAAACTCTAGCCACCATCCTTAAAGGTCTTCGGTGGTAACTCATCGGGTATAGCTGATCTTTATATCAGATTATTTATGATCTTTTCAAGGTGGTTAAGACTTGATGGCTTATTTACATCTTCTATCCTGGTTGTTTGGAACCCTTCGTTTCAATTGTCTTCAACAAGTGTACATCAAAGTCCTATATTTCTTGGAGTTAGTTTCGCAAACACTCAACGTTGTAATAACTGCTCGTTTGATAAGTTCAGTTAGTTATTTATTGTTATCGATCACTACTCCTTTTAAGCATAAATAGATAAATATGCTACGATATAGCATAAGTTGGTTATATACAAATCCACAGAACGAACCATTGAATAGTAGAAAGATACTATATAAATTAAAAGTAAGTAATTTTGCGTACAGTTAATCGCTACATTTTGACCCCATTGCCCTGAACCATAGCATAATTAAATATCCAAGTCAAAAAACGAAATACCAACTTGGCTGCACATCAATTATCTCTGAACAGCTACATGATAACAAAGTGCTGGTTATTTAACGGAAAATAAATGGAACTTATAAATACTCTATTAAAACCACTTCTGATTTATTTCAGATTCATTCTTCTGACATTTTTGCGTTCTCTTAAATCGTAGACATGTAGTAAGCAGTTTTCTTTACGCACTTTATACTAAAGTACCATGGTGTCTTTGTCTTATTGCAATGTGAAGTTTAACACAACTCAGTTGTAAGCTGAATGAAGCAATTGAAATAAATATTAAACAATTTATGGGTTGTCAGAAATTCGTACGTATTTACGATTGAGCTAAAAGTGATTCGACTGTGAACAAGATTATCTCAAACACTGTGTATGAATAAGAGCAGTTATCGCTTCGCGGCTGACCATGCCTTGGTAAGATATTTCTTCTCAAGTGACCTGAAAAAGAAACGTAGTAATTTCTAGATTCCACTGCTAGCCACTATCCATCTTTGCTTAGTAGTAAAGAATAGTCTTGTGAATCTGAGAACATGACTACAGGACTAAATGGGAAACTGCTTGATGCCTGTCTGCTATGTTTGAAGAGATTATGAGGTCACCTAAATCTACCAACAAATCGAAGACTTAGCAACACGACCAATAAGCTATGCGTCCCAACCCCGCTAACTAGAAAAAGTTCAGGTTCAGGAAAGGGAAAGTGTATTCCGCAAGCAGCCAGATGCACGAACAACAACAAGCATAACTCAAGCGTATATATTCAGCATAAAAATGTCCTTGGTAAACGTCACAAAATAGCATAATGAAAGAGACGACGAACTAATGACATTAGGAGTTCTGCCAAGTGGAAATTACGATATGAAGGTGAAAATTAGAGTTTCTAAAATAAGATTACAAAAATAAACGTTTACCAAGTGAGTCCTAGTTATCCAGTATCCTCAAAACTGTCATACATAGCCTTTTTGTGAGTGATGCTAAATTTGCTGGTCCCGTGCTTATACGGTCTTACCACCAGTGATAGCAATCTGTTAGGTGAGTCAAGGTGTACTATTTTTAGACCCAACCTTATCTAACAGCTTCCCGTTATGGAAAGGCTGCACTGCCGCATGATTTGGTTGCCTGAAAGGGCACCTTGCTGCCGTCACACTTGTGTGGTTGGTAGTACGGTGTCCTCTTTGAACCTCGAGTTTGGCTCCTTCAGACTTACCACAGTCCGACCAGCTGGCTTGTAATAGCCAAGCTAAGACTGTTGGAGAATGTGTTTCGGTCGTTGTCATTTGTTAAGATGCTTTTAACCCTCAAACTATGTCAAATTTTTTTATCCTGTTTATGCTACGTATGTTCAAAATTCTCACATTTACTCAAGGTCTGGGTTGTCTGTATGAATGCTCCTCAGTGGGTAACAAACGCATCACGTTTTTAAAGATGTGTCCCCATATGGTTTACTGCGAGGATCATTTGCCGCGCACTGCATAGAAATCGTTCAGCAACTACGCATTTGTCTGCCACTTTCGGCTACAGCATTAGTGTTAAACCTATTGGTACCACTTGGATTACTAGGCCGAAATAGGGGGACGGGAGATTCGGACTTGCTACACATTGGTCGCTTTACATGAGGTATATAGTGTAGGATAGTTTTATATGATGCTTTTCAGATAGTTTAATAATGTTCAATTTATTATGTTTGATACAAATTACTATTACCATATGATTTGCTCTCCCTTTTTTAGTGTGATCCCAATCTCACAGTTCGTTGTGTTTTTATTGAGTGTCTCAATACGAAGTTACCCCGTATTGCGCTTTACGCGTCTAGATTTATAAGGAAAGGTGAAGAACTTACATTCGACTACAATATGACTGGTAACTAAATCCTTTATGATTTTTATACATAAATGCGTATTTGTTTCTTAAAGTTATGTCTTGCGCGACCAATGTAGATCTGCTAGTAATGAGCGTTTTGGATAGGATTAACAGAAAGATTTCCAATCAAGTTTCTTGTTTTTTTATCATTGATGAACAATGGAAATTTGTCACTGAGAATATATTTATGTTATTCTAACAACTTCAGGTGGTAAAATTAAACTAAATATATTTGCTCGAAGCTATTTGAGTCGATTCCTTGAAGAGTTTAATATTGGAACTCTTGAATAAATATCTTATCCAACATTGCTTGTGCATCTTGCAAATGTGACCCAAGTCTCGTTTTTGTTGATCTTTTTCATTTGTGGTTATTTCCGGGGCAGCTTAGTTACAAGTTTCCATTCCTTAGCACAAGTAACAAATAAAACAATAACCTTGTTTTGTTTTGAGACAAACTTTCGAATTGATATGTTATTGTCTAACACTATAGGACTTTTTATTTCTAGGTGCTGTGGCTGCGGAAACTAGTGTAGTTATAGATGGTTCAGGAGAGGCAGAAACTCCTACAGAAACCCAATCAGGGTCATCGAATAATGGTGGGAAGAGTCCGACCCCATCTTCTTCCTCAGTTGACGTAACTCCTGACACAAGCAGTGAGGTAAGTAGGTATTTGCAAGTTAAGTCTGTAGATTTGTTCTAAAATATTTTCTTCTGTATTGTATTTTCATCTGACATACTACTCCAACTCTACTGTGTTCGCTCGACTAGATGGCTTTTATTCTCTAAAGAAGTGGCTTACTCTGAGTCACGAAACGTCAGAAAATCTAATTTTTTGACTCATTGGGATATTACAAATATATTATTTTCATTTATATATGGCTATTAGTTTGTATCTCTGTCTCATCCCAATTGCTCATGAAATAAATATGTAAAAGCGCAGCTTTATCTTGAACCAGTTATTTTGCTCCAATGTGAGACACTTTGTTGGAACTGCTTCTCGAGATGAAGTTGTCTGTTTTTACATAGGTTTTGAAGGTTGGGTATTGTAAACAATGTATATTTGCTTGACATGTAGGAATCGGTAAAACCAAACTGACCGAGTTTTCTGAGGGGGTTAACTGTTCCCATTGCAGGTGATAATTTCATCACGGTTTATCTACTTGTTCACTCCATCATTGTACCTGGTAATCGGTTGATTCCCCATCATATCGTCAAATTCATGTTTTCGATGGCTCTTTAGTGAATTTCGAACACTTGATTTCAGCCAATCACAGTCGCTTTTAAAATTTGTAATTTGATTGGCTAATTGGTTTCTCTCTCTCACCTGCCCATGTATGATAGACTTTGAATGGATTAGTCATATCAGCCCTATGAATGAGTCATGCCCAAAGGTGGAGGCGCAATTTAAAAGGTCTGATCTATGGATGGGATAACACACAGATTATGAATGAGTCTTGAAAAAGTTAATCAGTGGTCAGCATTTGAACCGCTTCGACATTATTTAAAGTTATGGTTGTATGGGATAAACTTTTAATAACTTTTAGCAAAGAACTTCAACAGATTGAATTTAAACAAATAAATTCTTGTAGTTCTCTGTGTAAAGTTTCATTTTACAAGTAAAGTTTTGGTGCCAAGATCAGCAGATCTTCGCGAATACCATATTACACATACTGATGGTAATAATAGAATAAAAGAGTCTAGTTTTCTAGTTCAAGTCAAATCTTATTGTGTTTCAATAATTTGGCAATATCTGGAATATTCAAAGCCCTACGACATGTTTGTATGGATTATTACATATATGAAAGTGGGGTTTTAAATCATTATCCAGTGTTCTATCGAACATGGATTTAATATACGCCTCTTTTTCCTTGTCGGTTATATTTGTGTTGTTACGTTGAAAGGTGCTTTAGGTTTATGAGACCAGTTACCTATACCATAGGATTCTATTCTGATTTATTGCTATTAAAGCTGAAGAATACCCAGCAATGGAACCCAGTGAAGCACCCTACCCATCCTATTTGAAACTTGCTGGGTGAATGTATCTCCGTTCTAGTGTTGATTTTCAGATTGAAACTCGAGCCCACTACTTTTTGCTTTAAGCATTACCGCGTTATCTGCTGACCTACTGAGTCCAGATATCTGGTAGCTTGTGCAACATGCATTGATTTTATTTGGAAGGGTTTTCTTTCCCCCGTTATTGATGCTAAGAACTAGATATACGTCCTTCTGAAAAGTCTCACATAGGATGGGACGTTCATTCTGTTATTCATTGCTAGCCATTATTCAAATCTACCATTCAGATTCAGTTTGAATTGTTTACTTTGAAAATAAAAATTCGTTTCCTAAAAAGTAACACTATCATACCACTAATTTCAAAATATTTCCACTTTGTTTACTTACTGCAGGTATCTTTCGATAGCAAATCTCTGGGATCTAAAGTAAGAAATTTTCATTTGATTAATCTGAAATTATTTATTATTTAAGACATATTATTTATGTCAGTTTTTTGACAGGTTTGTGTCAATAATTCACATATACAAATCTCTTTCAACAACGCACCATTCAGCACAATATTAGCGTCATTATTACCAGTACTATTGTTCATACCAGTATTATTACTTTACGTTTCAAACACTACCTATTGAAAGGGTGTTTTAAAACGATCAGTAGTCTTTTTATTATGAATGTTTTGGCTTATGACCAGAAACCGGATCAAAACGACTCTTCAGTACTCTGTAAATCCCCGCTAATTGCATATTTTTGGCTGTCTTTAGAATGTTTTCGAAAATTTCACTATCAATTATATGAAGATAACGATCTTTTATTTCAATATATCAAGTAGGTAAATTGTTGTACAAAATATCTGACATCGAATTTGGAAAATCTGGTTTTTGCACCTCATAGTGAACACTTAAGTCTAACTCCGAATTGTTGCCTGATTTATATGAAAAGTAAACCTTTATTGTCTTTGTTAAAAAAGACTCAGAGGCGCTTATACTTTGTATGTCAGATAGAAAAGCACTGAACAACCGGGACAAAAATAACAAACAGAATGTGTCTGTTAGGTTATTGGAACTAAAAAGCTATCTTTTGGTCCAGTGGAAGCTCATATGCGACTGGTTCATGGAGTACTTCATGTCAGAGATTTCCATGTTTGAATTTTGAATATATCCGTCTCCATGATGTAAAATATGAAATACCGCAGCCTTATCTCTTCTCGGTCTGCTGATGTTCAGAGATCTTCCAAAGTTTTCTGCTGTGATGAGATTTCTTTATTCCTGACAATAAAAATCGTTTGTCATGAATTATTTAAATAAATTTGTTGTTGAATATTTTGCAACTTATTTCTTATTCAGCTGAAAATTTCTTTAAAATTTGAAATAGTTGATTTTAGAATAGGTTTATAAACTTAAACTGTATGGATACAATGGTTAGGGTTCGTACAATATGTCAACAATAAACATTATTTATAAACAATGTAGTGTATAGATATATTCACTTATCATCGGGATGAAAGAAATCATTGATCTATTCCTGTTTGTTAATTTCTTTCTCTACTGAAGTGCGGTTACTCATTAGTTAAAAGGTTTATTTATTTATTTATTTGAACACAAATATTGGTACGAAGGGGCATCAGATACATATGTTCCACACAAAAATTTCATTTGGTTTGTGTATGGGCTGTGATACTGCTTGGGTACCCAGACCGAAGCAAGTGGTTTTCTCAAGGGTCCACACCCGAAGCCTTCGATCTAAAGGTCTGATCCACAGGGCAGTAAAGCAACAATTAGGAGGTGCAGTCCCATGGTGGCCGGTGACCAACAATAGGTTCACGTGCCTCTTGCTCCTTAAGGATCCTGGAGCCCATGTTCACCATTGGTTTGAAACCAGGGTTTCTCCATATCCACCAACCCGGTTAGAGCACCAGGCATTCGCTTTTCGTTCTCTCAATTTCCTAAACAACACTCGTTGCGCGAGAAGGCAGAGATTAAAACTTCCCTAACAGTGGCTGTATACGCGTGGCCATCCGTTAGATTGTAGGTTCTAACACCACTTCACCTATTTCAGTTTTTCGGCAATCGGATAGTATCACTAGTTTGGAGACTTAGAGTTTAGCTGGGAACCAGTTGTATTGTTCAGTACTTTGTAAATGAATTTTATATTTTTCTTTTATTCCACGTTGCGTAAGCTTCGTCTGACAATCATTTTTTTGAGATAACTTTCACTTGATTTGTCTGTACAAGAAGGGTTCTTCGTGTGTAGGGTTAGCTGTAGTCCATCGGTTTTAGCATATGGCTTGTGATCAAGTGGTTCACTGTCACTTCACTTCAACCGACTCAGTTTTGACAGCCAATCGACGTTTATAAACGTTCACATAACAGGTATGTCTGGAATACAATGTAGATAGCTTTGATAGATCATTTAGTTCTATTTAAGATAGCATTGACCCTTGGATGATAGGCTTTTGTATTTGTGATACGTAAAGCCGGATTTACTAAGTGAAGTTATTGATGTTATTGATTAGCAATATTTATTAGTTTAACAAATGTTTGAAACTCAATGCAAACGTTGTGTCGTGGTTCGGAAATGTAATTTTTTGTTTTTTATCCATTTATCTGGAACACTGCATGATAAATATCCTGTATGTTTACTTCATAATATATTGTTGAGGTAATAGTTTTTAATTACTATGGTAAATTACGTCTTATACTAATTATCGGATAAACATGGTGACGCTTTTGATCTTAGCAACTAAAGTAATCTTTTCATCTTGTGGCTGAATCATACATATGATTACTAATAACCTTGGTGAAACTGTGATTTAACGTTTAAAGCACGGCCTTTAGTTATTAGTTCACAAATCCAAACGTCTGCTTACCTACTAAATTTCATATTACATACCATAATACAGTGTTTAATGGAGTGTACATTGGCAATAGGGACATTATTATTGTTTACATTGGCATTTAAAGCTTCAATCCTGTTTAAACTTTTTATAATGGTGGTCCCGTGTATACTAGGATGAATTCTCATAGCTTTTAGACGTTTCTGTTATGGAAACAGGGATCGTTTTTATCATTATTTTCCAAATATCATTTACCCGTTTTCACATAAGATACTTCAACGTTCCCTAAGTGTACTGAATTTTAAAGGTATTCACAAGTTAAGTCGATCGTGAAATCTCATTTGGTGAAAAGTTCTATGGTAACTAAGGTCTTGTTTGGATTCTTTCGTTGTGATTAAGTATCTAACCCTTGTCCTCAGTAGCTTTTCTTTGTATCCGGCTCCAGTTAAACATCTAATTTCTGATGATAAGCTCTTGGGACTCATTATGTGCCTGCAAGTAGCTGTTTTAAAATTTATGCCCACTTCGACTGATATATCGAAATAAAACCCCACCCAATATATGCATTCTGTCGCATTATGTTTGTTGATGTTGAGTTGACCGATTATGAGACTTGAATCCGGAGGAATTTGTGAAATGTTTATGACTGGCAAAGACATAGCATTGAACTTTCCTTGTGTTCGCTTAAACTTACTGTATATTTTCCCATTATCGGTTTTAATGAAGTCTCAAGTTTTTCACATTTCAGGTATAAATATCTCTATTTTACAGAATAAGATTTGTCTCATGTCAACTATTTTAGTAAATCTTGCACAATCTGCTGATCTATAGTTGAGATCGACCTTGAGGAATGTTTACTATTTCACACATTGAGTTACGAAGCTATTTAACGGTGTAGTAAGAGATTCGAATCTGATCATGTGCAAATAACCTTTTGGGACTCGAATTTCAGACCCCAGATAATGGTCGTGCCTTTCAGTTAAGTATCCAAAATTCTTCATATGAAGATGTCATCTGTGACCTACGGTATGAACACCTGCAATTAACTTCAAAACGCTGTCTAAAAATCTAGTAAATTTATGGTTTAGATAAAAAATCAACGTCGTAAACTAAAACCCTTTGTAATGAGAATTGTCGCATTGTGCTGAATACAGTAGTCTACTCATTTATTCTTCTCAAGTGACTAAGTCAGCTTTTGGTAATTGTCGAATCCTTATTTTCTCTATATTCTTATCATTGACTTCGATCGTTTCCTAGGAATACTACCTTTGCTGGCATTAAAACATTGAACAGACTAAAATCAGGAGTACACAGCCCAACTACATAGAGATATAATAAGAAGTTGAAGCTGATGTCTGTTTTTTACTTAACAGTACTGTTAACTTTGTCTCCCCACAATTTTGAAAACGTAGTTCGTGGTAAATTGCTAGTAGATGTCTCGTTTCTTAGTAATTGTCAACTTAAATTCGCTATTGACCGAACTAAATTCCTGTTAAGACAAAGTTCTACACCCTTTTGTCGAGTTTGTATGTTTAATAGTTCTCAGTTCTTTCTGAAAATTGCCTTCACATGCGAAATCACAAGATTTACTAAATCAATTGAAAACGAATTCTAATTAAGTAGCTATTTCAATAAAGTTTCAATTGGAAGGCATTATTCATAAAATCGACATAATTAAGAACATAGTAGCTCATTGGTAACATCCTATGGAAATAGGATTATTTCACCAGCTGACCAAGGTTGAAAGAATATCATTAAATTTCGAATCCATGGCTACATCATAAGCTTAAAATGAGTGAATTCTCACTGTCAAGGTGTTTCAGGTTACGTCTATTTTGTCTATGCTTATTTATCAACAGTGAAAATATGTCTAGTTGACCAGTTTCTTCCTCATTAGCTTGGTTAGTCAATTGTATAACATCTTAGGAGTACGCTTTATAATGCCCAGTATGTTAAGGGCGTGTCAAGGTTTATATGTTTTTTATTGTCGATGTGTAAAAGTTCCACTGTCTCATCAAACATTGAAGCGCAAAGTACTGTGAATAATTGAAATACCACTGAAAGGTCATAAGTGCTGTCAGTGTACTGAATACTTTCTCTAAAATAATGGAGATTGCACTATAAGGAACCATTCCGATTGATTAACGATTCTTATACAATGTACAAAGGTTCCTTCTAGCTTTGAAGACGTTACTAGGTGATTAGTTTTCCATGGATTCTTTTATGGAACCAAATAGTAAGTATATCTATGTGGTGTCTGGTCGGCAACAAAGAGAGCAGTCTTTTTTGTTTTATTCCTTGTCCTCTGCAAAAGGCTTTTAAGTATCGAAATAAATTTGAGCAGCGTGTAAAATACGAAATATAGCTTACGATTCTAGAGAATCGCTGCATTAAGTGATTTCTTAGATCCATACACTTTTAATGCTAGTTGGATTTTCGAAAATAATGCTAAAACTACACGGAACTCAGTTCAATTATATCATTCTAATACTACGAAGTGATTCTTAAATTTATTAGCATTCTTTTAAACTCAATCATGTTATGCTCATCTGTTTGCTTTTCGTTCAACTCACTTCCTTTGTTTACATGTGTATATTACGCTTTGTTTTCTATTTTGTGCTATAGGGTCCTCGTATGAAATGCTTATGTCGAAGTAAAAACTGTCGTGGATATTTAGTCAACTAGAAATTTTTACTGATTGTTTATGGAGTACGGTAAAGCTGAAATACAGTCTGCTTATATTTATATAAAATGTCAGTTTTGTCCACTCAGGCTTCATGTATTTTTAATGAACCATTAGGAATATTTGTATTCAAGATTATATTTGATTCTTATTTTATATCTATTGTAAATTATACTGCTCTATATAGCAAATTATATATAAGTATGTGTAAAAATAATTGTTATAGTTTGCAGATTCAATGTATACTTCGTGTCTTTTTGTTCATCAGCATTTTACAATTTTCTATAGTGACAGTAGATTTAAGGCACTCAAAATGTTCGTCTATTCTTTTAAATGCTTCTATACATTTCAGTTGTTTTCATTTACTTTTATCCTGAGAAGGTAACATTTTGTTGTTAATATATTTACGATATATTTGTATTCAGTGTTAATTTTTCATATTACCTGGGATGATTTAACGAAAGACCGATGTATATAAGGATGTAAAAAACATACATCCTGTTTCTTATCATAAGCAGTATAACCATACAACTACATTAAATTATATTAACATATAACAAACATTGTTAATCAATCACTAAATAAACCACTACCTGCACATTTACCATTCACTTGGCTCGTGTGCAGTATTTCGAGTTAAATGAAGTCACATACCTGTTTAGTGCTTTTCGGTTGGACCTTGTATATTCAAGATGCG